TTTTCCCGAGGAAACAACCTCGGGATTTTCAGGTGTAGAAGCAGCTGAGGACTTCAACAGTGTTGGATTACGAAGCTGCCGAAACATTGGCGCCGTCTGTGGGAACCTGAATAAAAAGCTTTATTGCTTTGCTGTCATTGTAGATCTAGCTTCTCCCCAAATCTGCAGATCCATTTTTGACAGGAAACAAGAGGAGAAACTAGATTTCATTTGGCTTGAAGTGGCACTTCCACATCTATGTGAACAATGGAACAAAAGGAGTTAAGATGAGAGTTACTAGAAAAACAAGCTAGCAAACAGGGCGATCTCAATGGGGAGAAAAAGCTTGTGGGTAGGTAGCCAGCAGCAAACATCTCAGCTGATGATCATCATCACTAAGCATGAGCAGAGTTGGTGATGATCGGAATAGTCACCTACGAGCTGCAAAATCCCTGCTGGAGCACAAGCTGCGAAGTCCCTGCTGGAGCACGAGCTGCGAGCTTCCTGCTCGAACACGAGCTGCAAAATCCCTGCTTCATCACAAGTTGCAAAGTCCTTGCTGGAGCACGAGCTGCGAGCTTCCTGCTCGAACACGAGCTGCAAAATCCCTGCTCCATCACAAGTTGCAAAGTCCCTGTTGGAGCATGAGCTGCGAGCTTCCAGCTAGTGCACGAGCAGTGAAATGCTAGAGAACGAGCTGCAAAATCCCTGCTCAAGCACAAGCTGCAAAGTCCCTGCTGGAGCATGAGTTGCGAACTTCCCGCTGGTGCACGAGCAGTGAAACGCTGGAGAATGAGCTGCAAAATCCCTGCTGAAGCACGAGCTGGGAACTCCCTGCTCGAGCACAAGCCACAAAATTCTTGCTCGAGGACGAGCTCACAAGCTGCCGAGCTCAAATGCATGATGCAGAACTCAAGCACGAGCTGCCGAGCTCAAAGGCATGATGCAGAACTCCAGCACGAGCTGCCGAGCTCAAAGGCATGATGCAGAAATCCAGCACGAGCTGCCGAGCTCAAAAGCATGATGAACTCGAGCACGATCTGCCAAGTACGAGATGCCGAGCTGCGAGCATCCTACCCGAGGTCGAGCTAAAAGATGTGGAGCACGAGCTGCATGTACCCTGCTCAAGCACGAGCTGCA